CTGGAAGACGTTATACCAAAGATAATACACGCTGACTAAACAGGTTAAAAACAGGTACGTAGCAGATAATGTATGGCGACTGCCCCGGATACTGAACTACCGCTCAAAAAAAATCCAAATCCTATGCTAATAATGTCTATGGATGCAAACAAAGCATTTGACAGGATTGAACCAAGCTTTCTATTTCAGACTCTAGAGGCTATTGGAGAGAAATTCACTCAATATGTTAAAACACTTTTTAATGCCCCCAAAGCTAATATTTTAACAAATGACATTCTGTCCAACACTTTCTCATTATCCAGAGGGTGCAGGCAAGGCTGTCCAAGCTCCCCCCTGCTCTTTGCGCTTGCAATTGAACCATTAGCCGTTGCCATCCGCTCCAACACCTGCATAGCCGGAATTAAATTTGGTACAAGTGAACATAAACTTTCTCTATATGCAGATGATCTCCTATTATATATAACCGATCCACACACGTCAGTCCCCCCTCTATTGAAATGCCTCAAAGAATATAGTGCAGTTTCAGGGTATAAATTAAATTACACTAAAAGTGAGATTCTACCACTAATTATACAGGACAACAATATTAGAGCTCTCACTGACCCATTGAAATGATGCAACATTGGGTTCAAATATTTGAATACAAATTGGCAAATCGGATGAGCATATGTTTAAACAGAATTATATAAAATTATCGGAACAAACCAAGCTTAACTTTCAAAGATAGATGGATCTCCCAATGTCTCTCATAGGCAGAATTAATTAACATTTTGCCTAAGTTTATTTACCTATTTCAATGTCTCCTAATGAATGTTCCCAAGAGTTTAGCAAAATTAAACTCCATATATATGCCATATAAAACTCCTTTTATATGGCAAAGGAAAAACCCTAGGGTCAAAATCATCTCTCTACAGGCTCCATATTCAAGGGGAGGACTTAACTTACCAAACTTTAGGAATTATTGTCTTGCTTCTCAGTACCGATCAATTTGGATCTGGCTGCATGCAGAGAACAGTGAGGTTAGATTGGTCCCAATAGAACAACATGAGATGAAGTCTATGCCTTTAAAGGATATTCCATTAATAGGTACAAAAAAATGTTTAGCCATACTCACAAACAATTCAATAATACTGAACACATTTGCTGTTTGGCAAGAATCTCACTCACTTCTCGACACAAATATTTCTTTTCTTAGAAGGGCACCTTTGTGGGGTCATCCCAACATCTCACACCACATAGCTGACTCAGTGTTGTGGGGGTGGAGGGATAGAGAAATCCAAACAGTTGCTGACTTATACATTAATGATACATTTGCTAACTTCCAACAACTAAATGAAAAATTCAGCCTTCCCAAAGATAGTTTCTTCAAATACCTACAAATTAGAGACTGGGTTAAGGAGAAATCCAAAGAAACATTCCCATATATCCCAAAAGAAACTCCTCTTGAAACCCACCTATGTAACAAATTACACAGATCAACAAAAGGAATAATATCTTTTATATATGGTATCATCAATGGAAAGTTACCTGTTTATGATAAAACTACAAAAGGGAAATGGGAAACAGACCTAGGCTGTATTTACGAGGAGGCAGATTGGCATCATCTATTGGAACAGGCACAGACCATGCTAACCTCCACAAAACACAGGCAAATTCCATAGGACATACTACACCCCTTACAGGTTACATAAAATTGACAGCAACATTTCCTCGACATGTAGCCTTTGGAGAAATCTGGGGCCCCTTCACAGGCATTCTGCCTTCTCTGGACTTGGCTGACCGTGGTGGTGTGAGCCTTCCTGGACCGGCTTCAAATTAGCCCTCTGCAGGTTTCTCTTGTATAACTTCCTAATTGATGCATTTGCTGTGAGTAGTGTGTTGATTTATATAGATATGAATGTGTACAGATGGGTGTATGTATAAACTGTATATATAGACTGTGTAGATATATATATGAAAGGAAATTGTGAACCATATAAGGGAGGAGGGTGGGGGGTGAGATGGGAAAAGTTTGTGTAATATTTTTGTTTTGTTTTGTTTTGTTTTTTGTTTTTCCTTGTTTTCTCTTGTGATGTTCAAAAATCAAAAATCATCATCCTTGTACGGTGTGTCTATAAGGTTATACATTTGTGTATGTTCCTTTTGTAAAATACGACTTTCAATGTAACAAACTGTAGATGCTTGCTACACCATAAACATCTTGTAAGAACTTCTGTTAATAAAAACAAATATTAAAAAAACACAAAAAACAGCAGAACACATGAAGGTCCAGGCCCAACGCACAGAGAGGCAGATTAAGGAGCAGTTTAAGAAGCTTCACCAGTTTCTAGAAGAGGAAGAGGAGGCCAGGTTGGCTGCACTGAGGGAGGAAGAAGAGCAGAAGAGTCAGATGATGAAGGAGAAGACGGAGGCTCTGAGCAGAGAGATAGCAGCTCTTTCAGACACAGTCAGAGCCACAGAGGAGGAGCTGAGAGCTGAAGACGTCTCATTTCTGAACAACTACAAGGCTGCAGTGGAAAGAGTCCAGCAGCGCCCCCTGCTGGAGGATCCACAGCTGCCCTCAGGAGCTCTGATAGACGAGGCCAAACACCTGGGCAACCTGACCTTCAACATCTGGAACAAGATGAAGGACGTGGTCTCCTACACTCCTGTGATTCTGGACCCAAACACTGCTGGTCCAAGACTGATCCTGTCTGAAGATCTGACCACTGTGAGACGAAGAGAGAAACAGCAGCTTCCTGATAATCCAGAGAGGTTTGATTCTTACTGAGGGCTTTAACTCAGGGACTCACAGCTGGGATGTCGAGGTTGGAGACAGTACAGGCTGGTCACTGGGTGTGTTAGCAGAGTCTGTCCAGAGGAAGGATAGAGGAGACATACCGTCTAGATTAAAAAAATGATATCTACATTTTTTAAAAGGGTTACACGGTCAATACGGTTCTATGAAGGTAAATCATCAGCTCCAGAAACTGATCTTGTAGTTCAGAAAAAGGTCCAGAGGATCAGAGTAAATCTGGACTGGAACAGAGGAAAGCTGTCGTTCACTGATCCTGATACTAACACACACATACACACCTTCACACACACTTTCACTGAGAGGATGTTTCCATACATCGACACTGAGGATAACCTGAAGATATTACCAGTGAAGGTTGGTGTGACAGTGGAACAGGTCTGATGGTCTTTAGTTTGGTGAAGAGTAAACAACTATGTATGTACGAGCACATAAAATATGAATAAAATAATAAATAAAAATAATTTTCTCACTGGAACTCACTTATTGCTATTGTGATTTACTGTAGATTAACATTTCTTTTTATGTGCGGAACTTATTATCAACACTTCCCAATATTGATTTTTCACTGTTAGTCATAATAATCAGCACCCTGCTAGTTAGCTTAGCATAAGGTGCAATGATACATCACCACCAGGTTATGAGTATATCACTGTCAGACAGACAACTGCTGTTATAATAAAGTGAATGCTACCAGGTTAGCACTGAGCTAACATCAGAGCTTCATCATGTGATCGAGTTGTGGAGCAGAGTTCCATCAAGTCTTTAAATATGAATATAAATTAAACTTCAGCATCGTTATTTTATCTGTTCTTGTTTTCTGATCTAAAGATGATTAAAGTTATTTTATATTTATGAAATTCATTGTTTAGTGTTTTATGTTGAATATCTTTTAGTGTTTTAATGTTGGAAATAAGAGTCACATTCTTTTTGTTCGGTGCCTGAGAATCCAGATGTTTCTTTTTAATATATCACAACTTTGTTTTATAAATTTCTTATTAAAAACAAGTGAAAAACTTTATAAATGAGAGCTGATGAATGCAGAGTTACATACGGTCGTCTTATTGTTTCTGTTTCCTCTCATCAGTAAAACACATTTGAAATTCTTTATAAATGAAACTACATTAATGCATTTAGCAGGAGGAAGAAATCTCCTGTGATCCAGTCTCTGGGAATGAATGTGATAATCCATAAATAAAACCAATCATTAATCAATCAACTCACATCTTCTGTTTCAGTTTCAGTGTGTTTCATTGGATGTGTAAAGAGATTTGTGCTGCAGATGAAGGACAATAAATGATTATAATTTAAATACCAGAAATATTAAAGTGATCATTAAAAGATGTTTTATATTTTCATTAAGGTTTACTTTAATACTGAAGAACTCATTAGTGGATTTAAGGAGGTTTATTTCACTCAGTACTGTATGTATGTCATTTATTAGTACTGTGTCTTGTTGTAAGATTTTATTGCTAATTATTAATCTTAGATTAAGGTACAACAAACAATCAGCTGTCTGAGCTCTACTGCAGACTGACGCCACCTGCTGGTACGGTCGGTTATCACCGGTAGAACATGTCAACAGTCCACTTTTATTCTCTGACGTTGGTTTGGTGTCGGGACCTGAACCTTTTACTGCTTTATCTCCAACGTCCACTAACTTTCAATATTTGGGCAAAATTCCTTCAAGAAAACAACTGAAATATGTATTATTTAATAAGAGTTAACTTTAAATTTAAAATCAGTTTAGACGTCAGAAGGTTTTAGTCAAATGTATTAATGTTTTTAATGAAATCAGATTTTATACTTCCCACAATTTATCAACTACCTCCTTAAAAAGTAAAAACTTCCTAATAATTATATATATAATATAATTATTTAAGACATTTTAAGTAATAAAGAAACATTTAATGCAATAAAAGGTTAAAGTTCATTCATCTCACTGTAAAAAAAGAAACAACAAACATTTTCTTTGTAATAATTTAATATTTATTGTCAAAAATCTGAATTTACAGTTACTAAGGCAATATAATCATCTGCATTCGTTAGAGGACAGCAGATAAAAATAGAAAATATACTCTGATAAAAGACAGGAAGTGATGTCATTATTAACAGCAGCTTATTGATTAATGTGTGACAGTAACATTTGTTTATTTTATTAACAGGCTTTGGTTTAGAGATGTAACGTAAAAGTGGGACATTGACCTAAAAGAAGATTTTTAGTGATGTTTCATTATTGATTACTCTACCAGGTATTAATAATCATTATTGATTACTCTACCAGGTATTAATAATAATTACTGATTAATCTACCAGGTATTAATAATCATTATTGATTAATCTACCAGGTGTTAATAATAGTTATTGATTAATCTACCAGGTATTAATAATCATTATTGATTAATCTACCAGGTATTAATAATCATTATTGATTACTCTACCAGGTATTAATAATAATTATTGATTAATCTACCAGGTATTAATAATCATTATTGATTACTCTACCAGGTGTTAATAATAATTATTGATTAATCTACCAGGTGTTAATAATAGTTATTGATTACTCTACCAGGTATTAATAATAATTATTGATTAATATACCAGGTATTAATAATCATTATTGATTACTCTACCAGGTATTAATAATAATTATTGATTAATCTACCAGGTGTTAATAATCATTATTGATTAATCTACCAGGTATTAATAAACAGTTTCAGGTTCGTCTCAAGTCTGACATTTAAAAATGAACTTTTGTTAATCGATCATCAAACTCGTTACAGATTATTCTGATCATTGGACTACAAATAAAACTCAACATTAACAGTCTGATGGATAGAAGACCTCAAATACATTCACGTCCAGGTTCAGTGCAAAGACGGAGGGACGGAGGGAGGGATGGAGGGATGGAGGGCGTTGTCATGATTGATTGATTGATTGATTGATTGATTGAGGGACGGACTCTGAGTGGACCGGCGGGCTGCGGCTCCGGACTCAACCCATGTACGGGTACCTCCAGTCTGTGAGGGGAACCTGAGTCTCCTTCACCACCTGTGGGGATGTCCACCTGAGGACGTAGTGACGACCTCCAGGTTTATCATTAGTTCCTGGAAGAAGAAGAAACATCAGATTAGACAGACAGACAGACAGACAGACAGACAGAGACAGACAGACAGACAGACAGACAGACAGACAGAGACAGAGAGAGACAGACAGAGACAGAGAGAGAGAGACAGAGAGCCACAGCTCCAAATTAAAAATACTCCTCGGAGAAGGAGAGCGGGCACACCTTGCTGCCCAGTATGTATTAACATGCCACAACCTGAGGGACACACACACAAACACACACAGACACACACACACACACACAGACACACACACACACACACACACACACACACACACACACACACACACACACACACACACACACACACACACACACACACTGTATATAACTAATATAATGTTCATAATGTTTATATCTTTGATTTATTGTATTTGAATACTTTGCTTTGGAAATACTGTTTTTAAAAAACTTTCATGCCAATAAAGCCCACTTTGAATTTGAATTGAATTTGAGAGAGAGAGAGAGAGAGAGAGAGAGAGAGAGAGACACAGACAGTATAAAGTAGAAAGTATGATATTTAATAATATGTTTCTGTTTTCACATCTCACTCAGATTATGTTTGTTATGTATGTTATTTCTTTTCTTAGGGAATAGTTCAGATTGCTCCCACCATAGTTTGAGAACCCCATCACCGCCCCCCCACTGATATAAACCTGTTCCCAGGCAGCCTGCAGGGAACAACCGGCTCTTACCGGAAGCTCTGGCGCCACCAAACGGCTGTTGAGCCACGATGGAGCCGGTGGATTTATCGTTGACATAGTAGTTCCCTGCAGCGTTCCTCAAGGCTTTAGCTGCCTCCTCGACCACCTTCCTGCAACACAAACACCTTATGAGTCCAACAACCTCTCACTTTATCCAGCTCAGAGCCGTCAACCCTCTTTATACGTCAGCGTTGTGGTTGTCTGCCAGAAGCTGTCACACATTGACTGTTTACCATCCACTGTTTAGATCTTGGTGCTTTTTAACTCTAGATTTGAACCGGATGAAGGATTTTAGTCATCGGACGTCTGGATCTTAAGTTATCAGAGAAACAAGCTGAGCTAACGTTAGCAGCAGCTCGGCTCGCAGCCCCTCCGGGACGTCCTTTGTCTGTCCAACAAGGCTGTTAGCACCTGTTAGCGCCTCTTAGCACCTGTTAGCAGTGTATCACTGATTACTGTGGATTTCTGGAGGTTTCAGACCTCACACTGATCAATATGTGTTTGTGGACTCTGCTCTCTGACGCCCCCCTGTGGACGCTGCAGTCTTTGTCCTGCTGAGTATTAAAGACCAGAGGCCTCATGTAAAAGCTGCTGGGTTTCACTCACATAGGCGGATGTATATTTACGTTTTGTTGACTGTGATTTGGACAGAAGATGACAGCGGGGGGGTTTATAGTCAGGGTCGTAGATTGTTAGATTGAGAGGTATAAAAGGAAGGACCTGGTTTTATACATGGGGACATGTTTCAGTGTGAATAAAATAAAGAATGTTATATTAAACGTGAGGCTCCAGGTGCTGTAGGTCCAGCTGTAGGTGTTCTGTAGGTTCTGCTGTAGGTGTTCTGTAGGTTCTGCTGTAGGTGTTCTGTAGGTTCTGCTGTAGGTGTTCTGTAGGTTCTGCTGTAGGTGTTCTGTAGGTTCTGCTGTAGGTGTTCTGTAGGTTCTGCTATAGGTGTTTTGTAGGTTCTGCTGTAGGTGTTCTGTAGGTTCTGCTATAGTAAACTAAATTATAATTCATTTGAAAGCCTTGTTCTTAGTCTTTCTCAACACTCAAAACACTGCAGCCAGTTCTATTTGTTATAGTGTACCGCTCTCCTGGACCGTACTCTGATTTTATATCTGAATTCTCAGAGTTTCTATCAAGTTTAGTCCTTAAATCAGATAAAGTAATTATTGTAGGTGATTTTAATATTCATGTGGATGTTAACAATGACAGCCTTAGTAATGCATTTATATCATTAATAGACTCAATTGGCTTCTGTCAGAGTGTAAATAAACCAACTCATTGTTTTAATCACACTCTTGACCTTGTTCTATCATATGGCATTGATATTGAACATTTAATAGTCTTCCCACATAATCCTTTCCTATCTGACCATTATTTAATAACTTTTGAATTCATGTTGTTAGATTATAAGCCATTAGGCAAAACTTCCTACAGCAGATGTCTATCTGACAGTGCTGTAGCTAAATTTAAGGAGGAGATTCCTTCAGTGTTTAATTCAATGCCATGTCTGAATTCAACAGAGTCCTATAATAACTTTAGTCCCTCTGAAATTGATAATCTTGTCCATAGTGCTACAGGCTCACTACGATCAACATTAGACTCTATCGCTCCTATAAAAAGGAAATTATTAAAACATAGGAGACTAGCACCTTGGTACAACCACCAAACCCGCCAGTTAAAACAAATAGCTAGGAAATCTGAAAGGAAATGGTGCTCTTCCAAATTATCAGAATATCGCTCAAATTGGCAAGATAATCTTAAAACTTATAGAAAGGCCCTCCGTAATGCCAGAGGAGCCTATTACTCAGCACTGATAGAAGAAAATAAGAACAACCCTAGGTTCCTCTTCAGCACTGTAGCCAGGCTGACAGAGAGTCACAGCTCTATTGAGCCACATATCCCCATAAACTTAAGTAGCAATGACTTCATGAGCTTCTTCTATAATAAAATTATTACTATTAGAGAAAAAATTAATCACCAACTGCCATCAACGGTTATCAGTGGCTCTCCAAGTTCAGGGACTTCTGCCAATGTAAACTTAGATATATATTTAGACTGTTTTTCTGCTATCGATCTTCATCAGTTAACTTCAATCATTTCTTCATCGAAGCCATCAACCTGTCTATTAGACCCGATCCCAACTAGGCTGCTTAAAGAAGTTGTTCCCTTAATTGGCACTTCTTTACTGGATATGATTAATCTTTCTTTATTATCAGGATATGTACCACAGTCCTTTAAAGTAGCTGTAATTAAACCCCTTCTTAAAAAGCCCACTCTTGACCCAGGGGTTTTAGCCAACTATAGACCGATTTCTAACCTTCCCTTCCTCTCTAAGATTCTGGAGAAAGTAGTCGCCAGAGTTGTGTGAATTTCTACATAACAATAGTTTATTTGAGGATTTTCAGTCAGGATTTAGAGTTCATCATAGCACAGAGACAGCTCTGGTTAAAGTTAATAATGACCTTCTGATTGCTTCTGACAATGGACTTGTCTCTGTACTTGTATTATTAGATCTTAGTGCTGCATTTGACACCATTGACCATAATATTCTTTTGGGGAGACTTGAGCATCAAATTGGCATTAAAGGAACCGCACTAAGCTGGTTTAAGTCATATTTATCAGATCGCTCGCAGTTTGTACATGTTAACGATGAATCTTCAATAAATACTACAGTTAGTCATGGAGTTCCACAAGGTTCTGTACTTGGACCAATACTATTTACTTTATATATGCTCCCTTTAGGCAACATTATTAGGAATCACTCCATTAACTTTCACTGTTATGCAGATGATACGTGGTTATATCTATCAATCAAGCCCGATTAAATTAATCAATTATCTAAATTACAAACATGTCTTAAGGACATAAAATCCTGGATGACCTGCAATTTTCTGATGTTAAACTGAATCTTGGAGTTATCTTTGATCAGGATTTGTCATTTAACTCCCACATAAAGCAGACCTCTAGGACTGCCTTCTTTCATTTACGTAATATTACAAAAATTAGACACATACTATCACAGACAGATGCAGAAAAACTAATCCATGCATTTGTTACTTCAAGGCTGGATTACTGCAACTCTTTATTATCAGGTTGCCCCAATAAGTCCATTAAAACGCTCCAATTAATTCAGAACGCTGCAGCACGAGTACTGACAGGAACTAGAAAAAGAGATCACATCTCTCCTGTACTAGCTTCTCTGCACTGGCTCCCTGTAAAATGTAGAATAGAATTTAAAATCCTCCTCCTCACCTATAAAGCTCTTCATGGTCAGGCCCCTTCATATCTTAAAGAGCTCATAGTACCCTATTACCCCTCTAGAACACTACGTTCTCTGAATGCTGGGCTACTAGTGGTTCCTATAGTCTCTAAAAGTAGAACAGGAGCCAGAGCCTTCAGTTACCAAGCTCCTCTCCTGTGGAACCAGCTTCCAGTTGTGGTTCGGGAGGCAGACACCCTCACCACATTTAAGAGTAGGCTTAAGACATTCCTCTTTGATAAAGCTTATAGTTAGGGCTGGATCAGGTGAGTCCTGAACCATCCCTTAGTTATGCTGCTATAGGCCTAGACTATCGGGGGATTTCCCATGGTGCACTGAGCTCCTCCCTTCCTCTCTCTTTCTGCACTCATTCATGTCCCTTTAATGCATGTTACTAACTTCACTTCTTCCCCGGAGTTCTTGTGCTTTCTCGTCTCGCAGGTTCTTGTCGATCCTGGTGGAGCCTCCTGCCATGGTCCTGCTAGATTGCCATTGCCAATACTGTTGTTGCTGTGCACCTGTCTGTCTGTCTGTCTGTCTCTTGCTCTCTCTCTCTCTCTCTCTCTCTCACCCCAACTGGTCGAGACAGACGACCACCCACCTAGAGCCGAAGGATCTGTCCTAGGTTTCTGCCTTTTAACAGGCAGTTTTTCCTTGCCCTTGTCGCCAAGGTCTTGCTCATGGTGGTACTGTTGGGTCTCTGTAAATAATGTTTTAAAGAGTTCGGTCTAGACCTGCTCTATTTGAAAAGTGTCCTGAGATAACTTCTGTTATGAATTGGCGCTATACAAATAAAATTGAATTGAATTGAATTGCTATAGGTGTTTTGTAGGTTCTGCTGTAGGTGTTCTGTAGGTTCTGCTGTAGGTGTTCTGTAGGTTCTGCTATAGGTGTTTTGTAGGTTCTGCTGTAGGTGTTCTGTAGGTTCTGCTGACCACAGACAGAAACAGGTCCTGGTCTAACTCATCTTAACATAGATAAACGTGTCTCACTTGTCCTGAGCGTAGACGGCTCCCGTCAGAGCGTATGGGGACGTGTTGTCGATCAGTTGCAGCACCTCTTTGTACTCGTTCTCAGGGTAAACATACACCGACAGGACGGGCCCGAAGATCTCCTGCACGGGACAGACAGTGGGAGAGAGTCTGAGCAGCTTATTAACCAACGTTTACTCATATTCATATGAACCTTACTGTAATAAGTACTGGGCTCCTGTTGTAATCTTAGAGCACTATATATTACAGTGTAATAATAATCAGTGTCAGTGTGGACCTCGTTCATGATGGCGTCCTGTGGGTCTGTGGTCTCGATGATGGTCGGCTCCACAAAGTAACCCTTGGTGTCGTCACAGTGACCTCCAGCGATGACCCTGAGACTGGGAGAGGACTTGGTGCGGTCCAACCACCGCTTAATGCGAGCAAACGACTGTGGGAGGAAACAGGAAGCGGTCAGAGAAAAAGGTTACAGTGAGTGGAAGAGGAAGGAAAGACCTTATGGGGAGGAGAGAACTTCACCTTGTCATCGATCACAGCTGAGAAAAACGTGCTGAAGTCTTCCACCGGCTGCGGGAGAAAGAAATCAGTTTATTAAACTCATCGAGGTCAGAAAGACATTAATCTGACATATAATCAATAAACATCTTCAGTAAGACATTATTAATCTGTGTTAGCTATAGCACTGTTAGCTATAGTGGTGCTTTACAGCTGTGTTATGGTTGTACAGCAGCAGTAACAGTAGTAGTAGTAACAGTAGTAGTAACAGTAGTAGTAGCAGTAACAGTAGTAGTAACAGTAGTAGTAGTAGTAACAGTAGTAGTAACAGTAGTAGTAGTAGTAACAGTAGCAGTAACAGTAGTAGTAGTAGTAACAGTAGCAGTAACAGTAGTAGTAACAGTAGTAGTAGCAGTAACAGTAGTAGTAACAGTAGTAGTAACAGTAGTAGTAGCAGTAACAGTAGTAGTAACAGTAGTAGTAGCAGTAACAGTAGTAGTAGTAGTAACAGTAGTAGTAGTAGTAACAGTAGTAGTAACAGTAGTAGTAACAGTAGTAGTAGCAGTAACAGTAGTAGTAACAGTAGTAGTAGCAGTAACAGTAGTAGTAACAGTAGTAGTAGTAGTAGTAGTAGTAGTAGTAGCAGTAGTAGTAATAGTAACAGTAGTAACAGTAGTAGTAATAGTAACAGTAGTAGTAACAGTAGTAGTAGCAGTAACAGTAGTAGTAACAGTAGTAGTAGTAGTAATAGTAACAGTAGTAACAGTAGTAGTAATAGTAACAGTAGTAGTAACAGTAGTAGTAGCAGTAACAGTAGTAGTAACAGTAGTAGTAGCAGTAACAGTAGTAGTAACAGTAGTAACAGTAGTAGTAATAGTAACAGTAGTAACAGTAGTAGTAACAGTAGTAACAGTAGTAGTAGTAGTAATAGTAACAGTAGTAGTAGTAACAGTAGTAGTAACAGTAGTAACAGTAGTAGTAGTAATAGTAACAGTAGTAACAGTAGTAGTAATAGTAACAGTAGTAGTAATAGTAACAGTAGTAACAGTAGTAGTAATAGTAACAGTAGTAACAGTAGTAGTAATAGTAACAGTAGTAGTAGTAATAGTAACAGTAGTAGTAGTAACAGTAGTAGTAACAGTAGTAACAGTAGTAGTAGTAATAGTAACAGTAGTAACAGTAGTAGTAATAGTAACAGTAGTAACAGTAGTAGTAGTAATAGTAACAGTAGTAGTAGTAGTAATAGTAACAGTAGTAACAGTAGTAGTAATAGTAACAGTAGTAACAGTAGTAGTAATAGTAACAGTAGTAACAGTAGTAGTAACAGTAGTAACAGTAGTAGTAGTAGTAGTAATAGTAACAGTAGTAGTAGTAACAGTAGTAGTAACAGTAGTAGTAGTAGTAATAGTAACAGTAGTAGTAGTAACAGTAGTAGTAGTAGTAATAGTAACAGTAGTAGTAACAGTAGTAGTAGTAGTAATAGTAACAGTAGTAGTAGTAGTAGTAGTAGTAGCAGCAGCAGCAGCGGTGGCGTGTTCTGGACTCACGTCTCCCACTGTGATGTGTCTGTGGATGTCCAGAAGCTGCTGTTTGATCTGCGGCCAGATGCTGTCGGGTACGTACATCCTGGAGCAGGCTGAACACTTCTGACCTCCGTACTCAAACGCAGAGCGAATCGTCCCCTTCACCACGCTCTCAATGTCTGCAGACTTGTGGACAAAGTGGAAATTCTTCCCTCCGCACTCTGAAAACACCGAGCACACATAGAGTTAACACAACCGTACTCAGTGAACAGTTGGGTTCGTTCTGATTCTGTTTCTGAGGTTCTGCTCACCTCCAGCCAGTCGAGGGAAGGTCCTGTAGGTGTCCAGGTTCTGAGCGACCTGCTTCCAAAGACGCTTGAAGGTCCTACAAAGACAGATTGAAATATTCGTATGTTTATTCCCACTGTGGCTTATAATTCAATCTACAGCCAACATTAACCATTTTAATTTAACTTATATGACTTTGAGTTATTGTCCTACTATTTTACATTCAGCTTTATTTGACTGATTAGTTCTGTTGTTACTGTTACATTAGTTAACTGACAGATATCTTATAATAATATATGAATAAATGTTGTTTATCAGTGTATAAGCATTGCTTAACTGTCCAAATACAGTTGTTATTAGTGTAAACAGCAATTATTACTGTAATTTCACAGATAATGACTTTTATTACAGTTCTATAACTTTTAACATTCACATTAAAATAATATTTATATAAAATATAACTTTTAATTATAGAAAATAACTGTATTTTTATATACAAAGTTTTATATCTTCTTTTTTTCTTATTTTATGTTTGTCATTCGTGTTGATTGTATTTATTTCTAACTCGCTGATTTACGTAGATTTAACTATTCAAATGAGAGAGTCTGTCCTTACGGGACGCTGCCGGTGAAGTTGATGCCTGCCAGGTGCTGAGAGGAGGTGACGGTGTCTCCGAACACCGGACCGTCAGCCGGTAGGAACTGGATGATGTTTGGAGGCAGACCGCAGTCCCTCAGGACATTGTAGACAGCGTAGCTGGCAGACATGGCAGTGTCACTGGGCTTCCACAGGACGACATTACCCTGAAACACACAGAGACATATAAAGACTCTCTATCTCCCCCTGGTGGCTGACTGCAGTATAGACTCTCTCTCTATCTCCCCCTGGTGGCTGACTGCAGTATAGACTCTCTCTCTCTATCTCCCCCTGGTGGCTGACTGCAGTATAGACTCTCTCTCTATCTCCCCCTGGTGGCTGACTGCAGTATAGACTCTCTCTCTATCTCCCCCTGGTGGCTGACTGCAGTATAGACTCTCTATCTCTCTCTCTATCTCCCCCTGGTGGCTGACTGCAGTATAGACTCACTCTCTATCTCCCCCTGGTGGCTGACTGCAGTATAGACTCTCTATCTCTCTCTATCTCCCCCTGGTGGCTGACTGCAGTATAGACTCTCTCTCTATCTCCCCCTGGTGGCTGACTGCAGTATAGACTCTCTCTCTCTCTCTATCTCCCCCTGGTGGCTGACTGCAGTATAGACTCTCTCTCTATCTCCCCCTGGTGGCTGACTGCAGTATAGACTCTCTCTCTATCTCCCCCTGGTGGCTGACTGCAGTATAGACTCTCTATCTCTCTCTATCTCCCCCTGGTGGCTGACTGCAGTATAGACTATCTCTCTCATCTCCCCTGGTGGCTGACTGCAGTATAGACTCTGAACAGAGTGAGCTGTCTCCAGTCCTCCAGATACTGACGGAGATCAAGGACCATCGAGTTCCCTCAGAGGAGGAATACAATCACACTCACCATCAGAGCGGGAGTTCCTGCCAGGTTTCCACCGATAGCAGTGAAGTTAAAAGGAGCCACAGCTGCTACGAAACCCTGAAGGAAACAGCAGGAAGATACATTCATTTATTGAACAACATTAAAAGTGAAAGGTTCCAGGTTTAACTTCAAACCCAGTACGCTTATTTTTAATGAGTTGTGAACAACTTAAGGTGGCAGAATAATCAATAATCAAAAGCAAATTAAACACCAGATTGGATACAGGGTGAACAACTCCTTTGTTTTTACCTCCAGTCCGCGGTACAGCATCGTGTTGGTACTTCCCTCGGCGTTTAGCGGCTGTTGTTTCTCCAGCTCGATGGCGTGTTTGGCGTTAAATCTGAAGAAGTCGATCAGCTCTGCTGCGGCATCGATCTCCGCCTGGATCACCGTCTTCCCCTGAAATACAACAACCACGGTTCACTTTGTTCTGAGTGCTGATGGATGCATTAACGCTCAACATGTTCAGACTAGATAGATAATAGATATTGATTATCTGTGTTGCTAGCTATCGTTACCACAGTGACGTGAACTATTATTACTAATTGCTGCAACAGGTTCAGCTAATAATAATGGAGTCAGTCAGAGTTCCCAGTGGAGAACATGAAGATTCCCTTTGTTTTAATTGCCACGTTGTCCTGAAGTTGTCCAGAATTCAGGATTTACAGACACTGAAAGCGCAGTAACTGCAGCCGAAGCTCAGAGACAGCGATGGTGAGCACAGTGACTGCAGGTTGGATTTTATAGTTATTGAGCTTCCAGGTGGCGCAGAGTCAGCTGAGGTGTGTGTGAGGTGCTACGGTAAGCGTACTGACTCATTCCCGGTTCACTTCCTGCTCTGTGTACACTGTTTGGTGCTGTAGCTCTGTCAGTGAACGCTAAATATAAATTAGTTTTACTCGTTACAGCGGTTATTTTCCCGCTTAACATTTAAACGTAGACTAGTTCTACCTAAACACTCGGGGTTACTCCTTCTTTTAGCGACTTTTCACTACTTTCAAAGTTTTTCATACACGCTAGCTTTATTAGCATTAGCAGTTAGCTATGGCTTCTCCCTCTCCCTCTCCTCTGTCCTGCTCAGTGTGTCAGATGTTCAGTTATTCCTCTGCCTCCTTTAATGATAATGGTACCTGTATTAAATGTAGTTTATTTACTGCGCTGGAGGCGAGGCTTAGTGAGTTAGAGGAACGGCACCGCACCACAGAGATATCTTTAGCCGCTATAGTTAGCCAGCCCCCAGTAGCCGGTGTGGTCCGACCGAAGGTAGCTTCTGCTAGATCTGTAGTTCCCCCGGTAGTTCCCCCGGTAGTTCCCCCGGTAGTTCTAGAGCAGCCGGGAAGACAGGGAGGCTGGGTGACTGAGCGAAGGAAGACTAGAACACTGAAGCCCACAGGTCACCACCAACCGCTTCACGTTTCTAATACATTTTCCCCACTCAGCGACACACCCGCTGAGGAACCAACTCTGGTTATTGGCAGCTCCATAGTCAGAAACCTGAAGTTAGCGAAGCCAGCGGCCATAGTTAAATGTATCCCTGGGGCCAGAGCGGGCGACATTGAATCAAATTTAAAACTGCTGGCTAAAGATAAACGTAAATACAGTAAGATTGTTATCCACGTCGGCGGTAACGACACCCGTTTACGCCAATCGGAGGTCACTAAGATTAATGTGGAGTCGGTGTGTAATTATGCTAAGACAATGTCGGACACCGTAGTTTTCTCTGGACCCCTCCCCCAATGTGACCAGTGATGACATGTATAGCCGCATGTCGTCATTCCACCGCTGGCTGTCGAGGTGGTGTCCAGAAAACGATGTGGGCTTCATTGATAACTGGAAGCCTTTTTGGGGAAAACCTGGTCTGATTAGGAGAGACGGCATCCATCCCACTTTGGATGGAGCGGCTCTCTTATCTAGAAATATGGCGAAGTTTATTTCTAAAACCTGACAGTCCAGGGTTAGGACCAGGAAGCAGAGCTGCTGTCTTACACACTTCTCTGCGCTTTCTTTAGAACAGTCACCCACCCAAAACCCCATAGAGACTGTGTCTGTCCCCCCGACCACCTAAACTATTTAAAGAAATAAAAACAAGAGGAGTTCAACATAAAAACCTAATAAAAATTAAAACTAATTCCTCAGTAGCACAAAATAAGAGAATGAAATGTGGACTGTTAAATATCAGGTCACTGTCCTCTAAAGCTGTTTTAGTGAATGAATTAATATCAGATTATGATATTGATTTACTTTGTCTTACTGAGACCTGGTTGTCCCACGAGGAGTATGTTAGCCTAAATGAATCCACCCCCCAGTCATATTAATACTCACATTCCTCGAGGCACTGGCCGAGGAGGTGGAGTGGCAGCCATATATGATTCGAGCGTTTTAATGGACCCTAAACCTAAACTAAATTATAATTCATTTGAAAGCCTTGTTCTTAGTCTTTCTCACCCAAACTGGAAAACACTGCAGCCAGTTCTATTTGTTATAGTGTACCGCGCTCCTGGACCGTACTCTGATTTTATATCTGAATTCTCAGAGTTTTTATCAAGTTTAGTCCTTAAATCAGTTAAAGTAATTATTGTAGGTGATTTTAATATTCATGTGGATGTTAACAATGACAGCCTTAGTAACGCATTTATATCATTAATAGACTCAATTGGCTTCTGTCAGAGTGTAAATAAACCAACTCATTGTTTTAATCACACTCTTGAACCTTGTTTTATCATATGGCATTGATATTGAACATTTAATAGTCTTCCCACATAATCCTTTCCTATCTGACCATTATTTAATAACTTTTGAATTCATGTTGTTAGATTATAAGCCATTAGGCAAAACTTCCTACAGCAGATGTCTATCTGACAGTGCTGCAGCTAAATTTAAGGAGGAGATTCCTTCAGTGTTTAATTCAATGCCATGTCTGAATTTAACAGAGTCATATAACGACTTTAGTCCCTCTGAAATTGATAATCTTGTTGATAGTGCTGCAGGCTCACTACGATCAACATTAGACTCTATCGCTCCTATAAAAAGGAAATTATTAAAACATAGGAGACTAGCACCTTGGTACAACCACCAAACCCGCCAGTTAAAACAAATAGCTAGGAAATCTGAAAGGAAATGGCGCTCTTCCAAATTATCAGAATATCGCTCAATTTGGCAAGATAATCTTAAAACGTATAGAAAGGCCCTCCGTAATGCCAGAGGAGCCTATTACTCAGCACTAATAGAAGAAAATAAGAACAACCCTAGGTTCCTCTTCAGCACTGTAGCCAGGCTGACAGAGAGTCACAGCTCTATCGAGCCACATATCCCCATAAACTTAAGTAGCAATGACTTCATGAGCTTCTTCTATAATAAAATTATTACTATTAGAGAAAAAATTAATCACCAACTGCCATCAACAGTTACCAGTGGCTCTCCAAGTTCAGGGACTTCTGTCAGTGTAAACTTAGATATATATTTCGACTGTTTTTCTGCTATCGATCTTCATCAGTTAACTTCAATCATTTCTTCATCGAAGCCATCAACCTGTCTATTAGACCCGATCCCAACTAGGCTGCTTAAAGAAGTTGTTCCCTTAATTGGCACTTCTTTACTGGATATGATTAATCTTTCTTTATTATCAGGATATGTACCACAGTCCTTTAAAGTAGCTGTAATTAAACCCCTTCTTAAAAAGCCCACTCTTGACCCAGGGGTTTTAGCCAACTATAGACCGATTTCTAACCTCCCCATCCTCTCTAAGATTCTGGAGAAAGTAGTCGCCAAAGAGTTGTGTGAATTTCTACATAACAATAGTTTATTTGAGGATTTTCAGTCAGGATTTAGAGTTCATCATAGCACAGAGACAGCTCTGGTTAAAGTTAATAATGACCTTCTGACTGCTTCTGACAATGGACTTGTCTCTGTACTTGTATTATTAGATCTTAGTGCTGCATTTGACACCATTGACCATAATATTCTTTTGGGGAGACTTGAGCATCAAATTGGCATCAAAGGAACCGCACTAAGCTGGTTTAAGTCATATTTATCAGATCGCTCGTAGTTTGTACATGTTAACGATGAATCCTCCATAAATACTACAGTTAGTCATGGAGTTCCACAAGGTTCTGTACTTGGACCAATACTATTTACTTTATATATGCTCCCTTTAGGCAACATTATTAGGAATCACTCCATTAACTTTCACTGTTATGCAGATGATACGCAGTTATATCTATCAATCAAACCCAATGAAATTAATCAATTATCTAAATTACAAACATGTCTTATGGACATAAAATCCTGGATGAGCTGCAATTTTCTGATGTTAAACTCAGAAAAAAACCAAATTCTTGTTCTTGGCCCCAAAAACCTTAGAGACTCACTGTCTAAAGATATAGTTACTCTAGATGGCATTAACTTGGCCTCTAGCACCATTGTCAGGAATCTTGGAGTTATCTTTGATCAGGATTTGTCATTTAACTCCCACTTAAAGCAGACCTCTAGGACCGCCTTCTTTCATTTACGTAATATTAGAAAAATTAGACACATCCTATCACAGACAGATGCAGAAAAACTAATCCATGCATTTGTTACTTCAAGGCTGGATTACTGCAACTCTTTATTATCAGGTTGCCCCAATAAGTCCATTAAAACGCTCCAATTAATTCAGAACGCTGCAGCACGAGTACTGACAGGAACTAGAAAAAGAGATCACATCTCTCCTGTACTAGCTTCTCTGCACTGGCTCGCTGTAAAATGTAGAATAGAATTTAAAATCCTCCTCCTCACCTATAAAGCTCTTCATGGTCAGGCCCCTTCATATCTTAAAGAGCTCATAGTACCCTATTACCCCACTAGAACACTACGTTCTCTGAATGCTGGGCTACTTGTGGTTCCTATAGTCTCTAAAAAGTAGAACAGGAGCCAGAGCCTTCAGTTACCAAGCTCCTCTCCTGTGGAACCAGCTTCCAGTTGTGGTTCGGGAGGCAGACACCCTCACCACATTCAAGAGTAGGCTTAAGACATTCCTCTTTGATAAAGCTTATAGTTAGGGCTGGATCAGGTGAGTCCTGAACCATCCCTTAGTTATGCTGCTATAGGCCTAGACTATCGGGGGATTTCCCATGGTGCACTGAGCTCCTCCCTTCCTCTGTCTTTCTGCACTCATTCATGTTCCATTAATGCATGTTACTAACTTCACTTCTTCCCCGGAGTTCTTGTGCTTTCTCGTCTCGCAGGTTCTCATAGATCCTGGTGGAGCCTCCTGCCATGGTCCTGCTAGATTGCCATTGCCAATACTGTTGTTACTGTGCGTCTGTCTGTCTCTCTCTCTGTCTGTCTCTCTCTCTCTCTCACCCCAACTGGTCGAGACAGACAACCGCCCACCTAGAGCCGGAGGATCTGTCCTAGGTTTCTGCCTTTTAACAGGCAATTTTTCCTTGCCCTTGTCGCCAAGTGCTTGCTGATGGTGGTACTGTTGGGTCTCTGTAAATGTTATAAGGAGTTCGGTCTAGACCTGCTCTATTTGAAAAGTGTCCTGAGATAACTTCTGTTATGAATTGGTGCTATACAAATAAAATTGAATTGAATTGAATTGAATTTGAATTGACATAAATGAGACTGAAGTTAGAAACCAGATAAAACATTTAAAGTTTGATAGAAAGTGTAGTTGCGGCGGTTGGCCTCCGTGGGCAGTGTACCTGTCCAATCATGGTCTTGGCCAGGATTTCTGCTCTCTTGGGTCCACTGATGACGTCGGCTGCTTTGAAGAGAATCTGGGCTCTGTCCTGGACGGGCTTCAGGTCCCACTCCTTCCTCGCTGACACAGACGCCAGGATGGCTTTGTTGATGAGCTCCTGCAGTGGTCACATTCAAACAGAAACTTTATTTATAAAGCTCCAGTGTTACAACAAGAATATGAGACATAGTAAGACACATGTGGTAATAAGTTACCAATAAGTAAAATATAATCTACACTGAGAGGAGTCCAAGTTACAAACAGCTGCCGTCCAGCAGAGAATGAACTCTGTTATCGACCTGTTTAGACTACTTTTACATATTCAGCTCAACCCAAAGTGGGCCAGCAGTGTTTGCACACAGTCACTGAACCTCTGCTGGACTCAGTTCGGATAAAAGGATTTTAATACCGTTCATTTAAATGAATATTTTACTGTATAAATATGTTTTTACCATCAAGAGAATCAGTTTTGTCATATAAATGTTAAGTCTGTAATGTAAAAAAATGACTTTATTCTACATAAGTTCCTTTAAAATGCAGAATAAATAAAGGTTTAGCTGTGAGATACCAGTGTTTAACTGTTAGAGAAACTACATCACAGGGGATTTATAATGGGGATACCCTGTTCTACTGGTTCTACTGGTTCCACTGGTTCCACAGTGGGGAAGTAAGACCGATCTTAAGATCAGAAATGCGTTGGACTGCCTGTTGGCTGATCTTCTTACAGCTCTGAAACAACAGTCTGGACTCGAATAAGGAGCCAGTTTAAATCTGATCTAACTGCAGAGAAACAACAGTAACATTAAAGCTTAAACCTGTATTTTATTTATTACTGTATTTAAGACTAAAGTTATTGTACAGTATTGTCTGCTGGAACATTATTAATATTATTTCTTGTGTACAGGTTCTTACCTTGTCAGCGTAACAGAACTTTGCCACTTTATGTGAGTGATTGAACGGCTGGGAGAAGAAACAGAGACAGTTTCCATCAGAGTTCAATACATGAAACAATATCTTCAGATTGATGCAGCGATACGTTCACTCACAGATAATTGGTATCTGATGTCTTTGGTCCACACTCGTTCATCTCCAACCACACAGGGGATCTCCTCCGTCCTCCCCTTCAGGCTGTCTAAGGCCTGCAACCATAAGAGACCAAGATGAAGGTACAGAGGAAGAGTTCAGAGTAAAGTCTGCGTTCATTCAGGTTCTCACCTTCAGCAGCTCTTTCCTTTCTGCACTCCCCTCCATGAAGCCCAGGATCGGCTCGTTCTTCACCTCCACGGCTGCACAAGGGAACATCCTGAACCTTCAGACAGACAGAGAGACACAGTTACTGCGAGTGAGTCCAGACTGAGGCAGCCAGCAGAGACCTGGGTCAGTAAGAAAGGTTTAAAGCTGTAAAGAGTCGGTCTGTATCTCCCAGTTAAAGTGACATAAAGAAACACTCTGATGCGCTGAGGAAGAGGGTGAAGAAGAGGAGCAGCTCTTCAATAACTCCTGAAACAGGACAACCCTAACTAACCCATTATACAGAGAAACTGTGATCACATTAAAACTGATTAAACCCAGTTTGTGATCTGGTTTCATCCAGTTTCTGAGAGTCTGACAGCAGCTTCAGTGTTTGATTACCAAACCAGGCAAACACAGTGAAGGTCACTGACAGCCGCCCTGACGGGGGGGGGGGTTGAGACATTCTCACTGTCTACACACTGAAACTCCACAGGTGGCTGCAACTCTGAGATCAGAAACATCTGGAGGGGAAAACAGGTTTATACAGATGTTACAGAGCAACAGCAGTCAGTGGGGGGGGGTGTATTAAATATGATTTCTTATAAATCAAACAGCTGCAACCATCAGTTCCTTAATCAATAAGTCCATTAATCTATTAATCAATAAATCCACTGTCAGTATTAATATATAATATATTATATATAATTTATATATAATATATTATATATAATATTATATATATATATATATACAATATATATAATATATATATATATATATAATATATATATATATTATAATATATAATATATATATAATATTATAAATAATATTATATATATATTATTTATAATATTATATATATATAATATTATTTATAATATTATATATATAATATTATATATATATAATATTATATATATATTTTAATATATATATTATTTATAATATTATATATATATATATATTATATTATAATATTATATATATAATATTATATATATATAATATTATATATATATTTTAATATATAATATTATAATATTATATATATATATATATTATAATATATATATTATAATATATTTATAATATTATTATATATATATATATTATAATATATATATAATATTATAATAATTATAATATTAATATATAATATTATAAATAATATTATATATATAATATATATATATTATAATATATATATATAAATTATATAACAATCTCGCGCGCTCATTAACTTTATTTAAAACGTGAGAACGTGAACAAACTGAACTTTATTGATGACGCAGTTTATTAATGATACTGACTGATCAGAGTTATTGATCAGAGTTAGCTGTTAGCTGTTAGCATTAGCTCACTGACATGTTGTAAAAGGTGAAGCAGTCTCGTGCAGCAGTGTCGTTCGGCTCATGCGCAGTACATACCCTCTCCGCACCTGGCTCACCGCCGCCCGCACGCGCAGCATGTTCCTCCGGCAGGTAGCAGCACGAGACGAAGCAGAAAGACCCTCTGACACACCTGAGTGATCAATACCAGCGCGGATACAGCTTATCGATCTCTCCGGTTCAGGCAGTGGGACGGACGACACCGAGCAGCACCAACGGGTCCCGGGGTTGTTTTCTGTTTGAACACCAGGTTTTCGCGCTTTATCGGGTTTTAAATTGTTCGCCGTGACGACAATATAATAACAAACCACATGTTTTATGTAAATGTCTCTAACCGGAGGGAATTGTGGTTCTCTTTTGGTGGAGAAATCGTACAATGTGGAGAACCCCCCTCTGTCCTGTGAAATGGAACCTTCTACAGGCGGGTCTGCCATTGGCCAATCAGCGAACAGTAAAATACCCTCAGCCAATCACAGGCCGCGTATGAAAGTCTCTTCCGGTCCACAGATTTCCTTCAGTTTATTTTCTTTTTTATTGATGAAATGTACAAAATATTTCAATACAATGACCATCAATATGATCAGCAATAAACAAATACACACAACAAAAGAGAACATATTTTATGCACATCAAATAAAATAAAATAAAAGATCAAATAAAGAAATAAAAAACAAAACAAAAGACACCACACTATAGATAGATTTACATATAGGCTAACTTATTTTATATTTAATACTTGATACAGAAAGTGTTTACAGCTGTGATATCCTTGGAGGGATAATGAGGACTGACAGTGTGAGACTGTGAAAGCTTTCACACAGGTCACAATACATTTATGTTTTTGTTTAGTTTATGATATATAAGTAATATTTCAGGAGCTGGAGCACCATGAGAGTACAGCACAGTGCTGTTATTATTGGATTGTTATTATTTTAATGTGAATGTTAAAAGTTATAGAAGTGTAATAAAAGTCATTATCTGTGAGATTACAGTAATTATTGCTGTTTACACTGATAACAACTGTATTTGGACAGTTTACCTTATACACTGATAAACAACATTTATTCTACTTCCATCATTATACAACATATCTGTCAGTTAACTAACTAATACATTAAAATTACACAACTAATATATATACACTACACTGATTCTCTCTAATTTTACACAATTTTAGAAATGTATTATATAACAGTAAATATCTGCAAATAAAATATAGATTTGCAAATGTATTTTAATCTTGTTATGTGATAAAAGGACAATTTCTTTAAATAAGCAGGAATTTTGTTAATATTTCCATGTATTAAAAAATGCAGAATTAAAAATGTAAAATAAATTAGTAAACCCATAATACATTTAATTAGCTTTCTTAAATTGGTTTATATTATGTTGAAGAGTCCTGTGTGGTCTCCCCATTTTGTCCTTCCTTTGATGCTTGTTGTGACAAAATGGGGGCTCGTCCGGGTGCTCACATGTCAGCTGACACTTTGATGAGCCTCTGCCCAGATTCAAACAAACAAACAAACAGGAAATTGGTCCTGAGGCCAACAGACAGTAACAATAATAAAGCGGTTACGATTGTATTCCCTGTTTTGTTTCTTATCTTCCAAAAAGTGTGATTGTATTCTCACTGGAAGAAAAAACATTGTGACATGCATGCGTGTTTTATCTTTCTGTACGTTTTATTTGTACTAAATTAAAGGAAATTATTAATAATGTGTTAGTGGTTGAACAGTTGATTGCAGTGTTGCTGATTTTCTTTAACCTGATTTACAATAAAGTGTACACAACTGGACACACTCATTGGTTCACTTCAGTTTCTGATAGTCTTATCATAAATATATTCTTCAAGCATCTGTATGCTTGAAGAATATATTCTTATTCTTATTCTATATTCTTATATATTCAAAGGATGCTACTGATTTTAATTCAATTCAATTCAATTCAATTTTATTGGTATGTCACCAATTCATAACAGAAGTTATCTCAGGACACTTTTCAAATAGAGCAGGTCTAGACGGAACTCTTTAAAACATTAATTACAGAGACCCAACAGTACCACCATGAGCAAGACCTTGGAGACAAGGGCAAGGAAACACTGCCTGTTAAAAGGCAGAAACCTAGGACAGATCCTCCGGCTCTAGGTGGGTGGTCGTCTGTCTCGACCAGTTGGAGTGAGAGAGAGAGAGAGAGAGAGAGAGAGAGAGACAGAGACAGAGAGACAGATGCACAGTAACAACAGTATTGGCAATGGCAATCTTTTAATCCATATAAACATTTAAGTAATATATGTACTACCAAAACAAGAAACACTAAAGCCAATTATTATAAAGATTGTTTAGTTAACGATTATAATAATCCTGTGCACCTTTGTAAATAATGTTATAAGGAGTACAGTCTAGACCTGCTCTATTTGAAGTGTCCTGAGATAACCTTTGTTATTAGAGGTAATAATGAAGTTGTGAATGATTCCTCTTTAATTGCTAACGCCAGCCAGCAGTTCTCCCAACTCTGATATTTAGTAACTAACTCAAAATATGGCATGTCCTTCTCCTTTCCGATGTTCAGCAGGTTTTTTGTGATTTAAGCTCAGGTGTGGTGCTCGTCCAAATGGTTTAAAGTCAAAAAGTTTATCAAACTTACGTCTCATGTTCCCTCATATCCCGTGTCTGACTCGTTTAACTTATCTTTATACACTTAATTAATTTGGAAATGTGCCAGAGTCATCCCTTTGCCAAAAGGTGGTGATCCCCCAAGCTCAATAACTATAGGTCTATTTCCTTGATTAACAGTATAGCAAAAGTGTTTAAAAAGTGAATTTTAAAATCAACTCTCTCAATATGTTAATGACCGTAACATCTTACCTCCATACCATCCTGGTTTCAGACCTAACTTGTCTACAACCACTGCTCTCTTAAAATTTACAAATGATGTATCCTCCTCATTGGACTACAGTATGCAGACAGGTGCAATATTTATAGTTCATACAAAGGCTTTTGACATGGTTGATCACTACCTCCTTCTTGACAAACTTTATTCTATTGGGCTTTCCAAATATTTGCAGCTTTGGTTCAATTCTACAATATCTTAATAACATATGTCAGTGTGTATCGTATCAAGGCAGAATTTATGATCATGGAAAAGGGTGTATCTCAAGGTTTATCTTAAAGGCCGTTCTTATTCTCTATTTTTATCAATGATCTCCATAAACCTGTTCTATTTGTCATATTCAACTATATGCAGATGACACTGTGATTTATTCTCCCAAGACTTCTCATAATTACTTTACAGGCTGATGATACAGCTAAAATGGTTTTCTATACTTTATATTTTATCTTCTATTTTATTTTGAATTCTATTCTTAAGGTTAGGGGTTTTTAATTTTAGTCTAATGTATGATTAATGTATACTTTCTATTTTATCTTCTATTTTATTTTTAAGTCTATTCTTTAGGTTAGGGATTTTTATTTTAGTCTAATGTATGTTTAATGTATGTTTTGTATTTTGTATGCTACTGGATACTTGAATTTCTCTCGGGATAAATAAAGTATCTATCTATCTATCTATCTATCTATCTATCTATCTATCTATCTATCTATCTATCTTCTTACTGAATAAGAACAAGTCCTGCAGTATGTTTGGCATTCGAGCTGACTTTTTACATTCAGTTAATAAGTGGCTTGATTCATTTTACAGACACCACTTAAGAATGTGGAGGAATTTAAATATTTGGGTCTCTGGTTTGATCTGACTTTTTTTAAGCCTCATACTGAATCAGTAATAAAGAAAATAAATTACAGCCAGAGAATGTTATTTTACTTCTTAACTGTTGCTATTACCGATACTTGATATTGTCTATCAGCATTCCACAGAAACAACTCTTCTCCCTCTTTATGTAGTTTATAATAATCCCTGTAGAATATATATATATATAATATATATTTAGAATGTTTCTCTGCTATCAATCTTCATCAGTTAACTTCAATAATGTTTTTCAACAAAGCCATCAACCTGTCAAATGTCAGCACTGTAAAACAAAATCTGTGTGTTTACTGAGTTTTCAGTTGTTTTCAAATACCTGGAAATATGTGAATTTACATGTCTAATGTAAAATAACATGAACAATCTGTAGCTGTAAATAATCATAAGATTACTGTTTATTTAATAGATTAAACTGTTAAATTACAGTTTAATAATGTTAATACATTTCTAAAATGATATAGTAAAGAGTAAAAAAGTATTTGTTGTTTAATTTTACATGGATTTGTTTGTTAATTGGCAGATATCCTTTAGACCCCTCATCACATGTATCAATATTTGTTTGGAAAAGCCCCAAATGAAGATATTTATGTCCATATGGATTTGATACAAATATCTGAAGGCAGCATTAGGAATCAATGTTGTTTTATTTACAAATTTTCAGACATTTTTCTGAATTTGTTTATTTTTTTAATGATGATCACAGATCCATAACAGATCATTACAATAATTTATCTCATTATTAAAAATAATAATAATAAATAATCTAAACTAACATGTTAAATTTGACACCAAACTAGGGTGGCCAGGTATTTTTGGGGTTGCTGGCACCCCATTGCTACCAGTCTACATCCGCCCCTGCCAAATTTGTAGCTCGTTGTCCGCTTCGCCTTTTGCGAAGCAACAACAATTATTTTGTCCCAACTGTCGCTCCGTATCATGAGAGGCGTTGACAAGCAGAGGAGACTGTTGTGGTGGAAATGATCCGCCTGTGAAGACATTTTATCCGGATCAGACTGAATACAATCTGGTCTTTCGGCTGCAGGAGAAGCTCGTCGGAACAGAGGGAAGCGGTAAGAGCTGCTGTCAGTTAGCTGCTAGCTGCTAGCTGCTAACTGACTGAGCCCGTTAGCCACCTAGCTCGTGACAGTGCAGTGGAGCTCTGTGAGGCTGTGAACTGTTCCGGGTGTGTCCTTTAATGACACGGGTCCGTCGCTTAAGGCTTTTAAACGAAGGAAACTTAATTTAGTGGAGAACTAGCTAACGGTAGCCGATATTTTTTCCTCACAGGAAGGCGAAGTCATGTCCCGCCCTCCTCAGCCTCTGATTGGCTTACTCTGACATTCTGACCCTGACTCTAACCAATCATACTCCTCATGCCTAAACCGGACCAATCACATCGATGTATGCAACGATCCAATCAGAGGCAAAGGAGGGCGGGACTAGTCTTCACCACCCTGGGATGAAAAATTATAAGCTAGCAACACAGCCAGGGTTTATTACAGTGTAATACAAATATATAATTATAGACATGATACAGAAGCACAGAGCCTGTACACACGGAGTCACACTGTTTATTATATTCTTCATTAACACATCACTGATAAATGTATTGATTGTTCACTACAGATCAATATGTTCTGATTGATTGATCTGATCAGCAGGCTGCAGACAGGATGAGCTCTAAAGGAGGAGGAACGGCTCTGACCCGACGCAACTACAGACTGGCTTCAGATACAGACAAACCCAGAGCCACAGGTACACACTCAGTACTACACACTGTACACACACTGTAATATACACTGTACTATACACACTGTAATACACACTGTAATACACACTGTAATACACACTGTACTACACACTGTACTACACACTGTAGATACACTGTACTATACACTCAGTACTACACACTGTACTATACACTGTACACACACTGTAATACACACTGTACTATACACACTGTAATACACACTGTACTACACACTGTACACACACTGTAATATACACTCAGTACTACACACTGTACTACACACTGTACACACACTGTAATACACACTGTACTATACACACTGTAATACACACTGTAATACACACTGTACTACACACTGTAATACACACTGTACACACACTGTAATATACACTGTACTATACACACTGTACTACACACTGTAATACACACTGTACACACACTGTAATACACACTGTAATACACACTGTAATACACACTGTAATATACACTGTAATACACACTGTACTACACACTGTAATACACACTGTACTACACACTGTACTACACACTGTACTATACACTGCACTATACACTGTAATACACACTGTACACACACTGTAATACACACTGTACACACACTGTACACACACTGTAATATACACTGTAATACACACTGTACACACACTGTACTCACACTGTACTACACACTGTACACACTGTAATACACACTGTAATACACACTGTAATATACACTGTAATACACACTGTAATATACACTGTAATACACACTGTAATACACACTGTACTACACACTGTAATACACACTGTACTACACACTGTACTACACACTGTAATACACACTGTACTACACACTATACACACTGTAATACACACTGTACTACACACTGTACTACACACTGTACTATACACTGCACTATACACTGTAATACACACTGTACACACACTGTAATACACACTGTACACACACTGTAATACACACTGTACCACACACTGTACTACACACTGTACTACACACAGTACTACACACTGTAGATACACTGTAATACACACTGTAATACACACTGTACTACACACGGTAATACACACTGTACACACACTGTACTACACACTGTACACACACTGTAATATACACTGTAATACACACTGTACACACACTGTAATATACACTGTAATACACACTGTACACACACTGTACTCACACTGTACTACACACTGTACACACTGTAATACACACTGTAATACACACTGTAATATACACTGTAATACACACTGTAATATACACTGTAATACACACTGTAATACACACTGTAAAACTTACACTGTAATACACACTGTACTACACACTGTACTACACACTGTAATACACACTGTACTACACACTATACACACTGTACTACACACTGTACTACACACTGTACTATACACTGCACTACACACTGTAATACACACTGTACACACACTTATACACACTGTACTATACACTGTACACACACTGTAATACACACTGTAATACACACTGTACACACACTGTAATACACACTGTACTACACACTGTACACACTAATACACACTGTAATACACACTGTAAATACACTGTAATACACACTATCACTGTACTACACACTGTAATACACACTGTAGATACACTGTAATACACACTGTAATACACACTGTACTACACACTGTAATACACACTGTACTACACACTATACACACTGTAATACACACTGTACTACACACTGTACTACACACTGTACTATACACTGCACTATACACTGTAATACACACTGTACACACACTGTAATACACACTGTACACACACTGTAATACACACTGTACCACACACTGTCACACACTGTACTACACACTGTACTACACACTGTAGATACACTGTAATACACACTGTAATACACACTGTACTACACACGGTAATACACACTGTACACACACTGTACTACACACTGTACACACACTGTACTATACACTGTACTACACACTGTACACACACTGTAATACACACTGCACCACACACTGTACTCACACTTACTACACACTGTACACACTGTAATACACACTGTACTACACACTGTAATATACACTGTAATACACACTGTAATATACACTTAATACACACTGTAATACACACTGTACACACACTTACACACTGTAATACACACTGTACTACACACTGTACTACACACTGTACTACACACTGTACACACACACACTGTACTACACACTGTACTATACACTCACTAACACTGTAATACACACTGTTATACACTCAGTAATACACACTGTAATACACACTGTACTACACACTAAACACTGTACACACACTGTAATACACTGTAATACACACTGTAATACACACAGTACTACACACTGTACACACACTGTACTACACACTGTAATACACACTGTAATACACACTGTACCACACACTGTACTACACACTGTACTACACACTGTACTACACACTGTACCACACTGTACACTGTACTACACTGTACACACACTGTAATACACACTGTACTACACACTGTAATACACACTGTACCACACACTGTACTACACACTGTACCTACACACTGTAATACACACTGTACACACACTGTAATACACACTGTACACACAACTGTAATACACACTGTACTAAACTTACACACACTGTACACACACTGTACACACACTGTACACACACTGTACACACACACACTGTTACACACACTGTACACACACGTAACACTGTAATATATACTGTAATACACTCAGTACTACACACTGTACACACACTGTACTACACACTGTAATACACACTGTAATCACTCAGTACTACACACTGTACTACACACTGTACTATACACTGTACACACACTGTACTACACACTGTACACACACTGTAATACACTCAGTACTACACACTGTACACACACTGTTATACACACTGTACTACACACTGTACACACACTGTAATACACACTGTACTACACACTGTAATATACACTGTAATACACACTGTTATACACACTGTAATACACACTGTAATACACACTGTACACACTCAGTACTACACACTGTACACACACTGTTATACACACTGTAATACACACTGTAATACACACTGTACACACTCAGTACTACACACTGTACTCACACTGTACTCACACTGTAATACACACTGTACACACTCAGTACTACACACTGTTATACACACTGTACTATACACTGTACTACACACTGTACTATACACTGTACTATACACTGTACTATACACTGTACACACTCAGTACTACACACTGTTATACACACTGTACACACTCAGTACTACACACTGTAATACACACTGTACACACACTGTAATACACACTGTACCACACACTGTACTACACACTCAGTACTACACACTGTTATACACACTGTACTCACACTGTAATACACATTGTACTCACACTGTACACACACTGTACACACACTGCAATACACACTGTAATACACATTGTACTCACACTGTACACACACTGTACACACACTGTACTCACACTGTAATATACACTGTAATACACACTGTACTACACACTGTACTCACACTGTACTACACACTGTACTCACACTGTACTATACACTGTAATACACACTGTACACACACTGTACTACACACTGTACTACACACTGTACACACACTGTACACACTCAGTACTACACACTGTACTACACACTGTACACACACTGTACACACTCAGTACTACACACTGTAATACACACTGTACTACACACTGTACTCACACTGTACTATACACTGTAATACACACTGTACTCACACTGTACTATACACTGTAATACACACTGTACACACACTGTACTACACACTGTACTACACACTGTACTACACACTGTACACACACTGTACACACTGTACTACACACTGTACTACACACTGTACACACACTGTACACACTCAGTACTACACACTGTTATACACACTCAGTACTACACACTGTTATACACACTGTACTCACACTGTACTACACACTGTACTCACACTGTACACACACTGTACACACACTGTAATATACACTGTAATACACACTGTACACACACTGTACACACACTGTAATATACACTGTAATACACACTGTACACACACTGTACTACACACTGTACTACACACTGTAATACACACTGTAATACACACTATACCACACACTGTACACACACTGTACTACACACTGTAATACACACTGTACACACACTGTTCTACACACTGCACACACACTGTACTACACACAGTACTACACACTGTACACACACAGTACTACACACTGTACACACATTGTACTACACACTGTACACACACTGTACACACACTGTACTACACACTGTAATACACACTGTAATACACACTGCAATACACACTGTACACACACTGTACACACACAGTACTACACACAGTACTACACACTGTACTACACACTGTAATACACACTGTACACACACTGTACTACACACTGTAATACACACTGTACACACACTGTACTACACACTGTACTACACACTGTAATACACACTGTACACACACTGTACACACACTGTAATACACACTGTACACACACTGTACTACACACTGTAATACACACTGCAACACACACTGTACACACACTGTACACACACTGTACTACACACTGTACTACACACTGTACACACACTGTACTACACTCAGTACTACACACTGTAATACACACTGTAATACACACTGTAATACACACTGTAATACACACTGTACACACACTGTACTACACACTGTAATACACACTGCAATACACACTGTACACACACTGTACACACACTGTACTACACACTGTAATACACACTGTACACACACACTGTACACACACTGTAATACACACTGTAATACACACTGTACACACACTGTACTACACACTGTACACACACTGTACTACACACTGTACACACACTGTACACACACTGTACTACACACTGTACTACACACTGTAATACACACTATACCACACACTGTACACACACTGTACTACACACTGTAATACACACTGTACACACACTGTTCTACACACTGTAATACACACAGTACTACACACTGTACTACACACTGTACTACACACTGTACTACACACTGTAATACACACTGTACACACACTGTAATACACACTGTACACACACAGTACTACACACTGTACTACACACTGTAGATACTGTAGATACTGTAGATACAGGGCAGAGGTCACTGACTGTGTTTATGTCTATCAGGTATTGTGAATGAGAAACTGCTCAGTGACTACCTCCACCATGTGTTTCCTTCCACCAAACCGGGACCAGCACTGGCCTCACTCAGGTAACCGTCTGTCTGTCTGTCTGTCTGTCTGTCTGTCTGTCTGTCTGTCTGTCTGTCTGTCTGTCTGTCTGTCTGTCTGTCTGTCTGTCTGTCCGTCTGTCCGTCTAACATATACCAGCTTTTAACTTGATATACAAATAACAGTGAAAACAAAAATATTCAATTCAAGTTTATTTGTATATGTGGAGGGTACCGATAATATCAGACATTCACCCGTCAATCAATCTTCAACTTTTAGACACACAGACCCTAACCCACACAACTTTATTAACACTGTACAAACACACAACTTTATTATCACTGTACAGACACACAACTTTATTAACACTGTACAGACACAACTTTATTAACACTGTACAGACACACAACTTTATTATCACTGTACAAACACACAACTTTATTATCACTGTACAAACACACAACTTTATTAACACTGTACAAACACAACTTTATTAACACTGTACAAACACACAACTTTATTAACACTGTACAAACACACAACTTTATTAACACTGTACAAACACAACTTTATTAACACTGTACAAACACACAACTTTATTAACACTGTACAAACACACAACTTTATTAACACTGTACAGACACACAACTTTATTAACACTGTACAAACACACAACTTTATTATCACTGTACAGACACACAACTTTATTATCACTGTACAAACACACAACTTTATTAACACTGTACAGACACACAACTTTATTAACACTGTACAGACACACAACTTTATTAACACTGTACAAACACACAACTTTATTAACACTGTACAAACACACAACTTTATTAACACTGTACAGACACAACTTTATTAACACTGTACAAACACACAACTTTATTAACACTGTACAGACACACAACTTTATTAACACTGTACAAACACACAACTTTATTAACACTGTACAAACACACAACTTTATTAACACTGTACAAACACACAACTTTATTAACACTGTACAAACACACAACTTTATTAACACTGTACAAACACACAACTTTATTAACACTGTACAAACACACAACTTTATTAACACTGTACAAACACACAACTTTATTAACACTGTACAAACACACAACTTTATTAACACTGTACAAACACAACAAATACAAACACACAACTTTATTAACACTGTACAAACACACAACTTTATTAACACTGTACAGACACACAACTTTATTAACACTGTACAAACACACAACTTTATTATCACTGTACAAACACACAACTTTATTAACACTGTACAAACACACAACTTTATTAACACTGTACAAACACACAACTTTATTAACACTGTACAGACACACAACTTTATTAACACTGTACAGACACACAACTTTATTAACACTGTACAAACACACAACTTTATTAACACTGTACAAACACACAACTTTATTAACACTGTACAAACACAACTTTATTATCACTGTACAAACACAACTTTATTAACACTGTACAAACACAACTTTATTAACACTGTACAAACACACAACTTTATTAACACTGTACAAACACACAACTTTATTAACACTGTACAAACACAACTTTATTAACACTGTACAAACACACAACTTTATTAACACTGTACAAACACACAACTTTATTAACACTGTACAAACACACAACTTTATTAACACTGTACAAACACACAACTTTATTAACACTGTACAAACACACAACTTTATTAACACTGTACAAACACACAACTTTATTATCACTGTACAAACACACAACTTTATTAACACTGTACAAACACACAACTTTATTATCACTGTACAGACACACAACTTTATTAACACTGTACAAACACAACTTTATTAACACTGTACAAACACAACTTTATTAACACTGTACAAACACACAACTTTATTATCACTGTACAAACACACAACTTTATTAACACTGTACAAACACACAACTTTATTAACACTGTACAAACACAACTTTATTAACACTGTACAGACACACAACTTTATTAACACTGTACAGACACACAACTTTATTAACACTGTACAAACACACAACTTTATTAACACTGTACAAACACACAACTTTATTTACACTGTACAAACACAACTTTATTAACACTGTACAAACACACAACTTTATTAACACTGTACAAACACACAACTTTATTAACACTGTACAAACAACTTTATTAACACTGTACAAACACACAACTTTATTAACACTGTACAAACACACAACTTTATTAACACTGTACAGACACACAACTTTATTAACACTGTACAAACACACAACTTTATTATCACTGTACAAACACACAACTTTATTTACACTGTACAAACACAACTTTATTAACACTGTACAAACACAACTTTATTAACACTGTACAAACACAACTTTATTAACACTGTACAAACACACAACTTTATTAACACTGTACAAACACACAACTTTATTATCACTGTACAAACACACAACTTTATTAACACTGTACAAACACAACTACAAACACACAACTTTATTAACACTGTACAAACACAACTTTATTAACACTGTACAAACACAACTTTATTAACACTGTACAAACACAACTTTATTAACACTGTACAAACACACAACTTTATTAACACTGTACAAACACACAACTTTATTAACACTGTACAAACACACAACTTTATTAACACTGTACAAACACAACTTTATTAACACTGTAAAACACACAACTTTATTAACACTGTACAAACACAACTTTATTAACACTGTACAAACACACAACTTTATTAACACTGTACAAACACAACTTTATTAACGCTGTACAAACACACAACTTTATTAACACTGTACAAACACAACTTTATTAACACTGTACAAACACAACTTTATTAACACTGTACAAACACACAACTTTATTAACACTGTACAAACACACAACTTTATTAACACTGTACAAACACAACTTTATTAACACTGTACAAACACAACTTTATTAACACTGTACAAACACACAACTTTATTAACACTGTACAAACACACAACTTTATTAACACTGTACAAACACAACTTTATTAACACTGTACAAACACACAACTTTATTAACACTGTACAAACACACAACTTTATTAACACTGTACAAACACACAACTTTATTAACACTGTACAAACACACAACTTTATTAACACTGTACAAACACACAACTTTATTAACACTGTACAAACACAACTTTATTAACACTGTACAAACACACAACTTTATTAACGCTGTACAAACACAACTTTATTAACGCTGTACAAACACACAACTTTATTAACACTGTACAAACACAACTTTATTAACACTGTACAAACACAACTTTATTAACACTGTACAAACACACAACTTTATTAACACTGTACAAACACACAACTTTATTAACGCTGTACAAACACAACTTTATTAACCCTGTACAAACACACAACTTTATTAACACTGTACAAACACAACTTTATTAACACTGTACAAACACACAACTTTATTAACACTGTACAAACACACAACTTTATTAACGCTGTACAAACACAACTTTATTAACACTGTACAAACACACAACTTTTGCTGAACACTGATAATAAAACTTGCTTATAGCCAGTCAAACTGTGCGTGTGTTTAGTGTATGTGTAGTTAGTGTGTGTGTGTTGTACCCTGACCTAGTGTTACAGAGGCCTCTCAGCTTAATCCAGACAGCGTCATGTTACCTTCACAGCTCTATACATAGACACACACACACACACACACACACACACACACACACACACTGTGTTCACTGTGTTTAGGATCCATCTCTAGGACATTACCTACATAACTATGGTCCTTCCTTTAAAACCTTCATATGAACGCCTCCAACAGGACTGAATCCCGTCCCCACTCTCTAAGTCTTTAAACATTTGGGTCACCAGTCACATGATCAACAGGAAGTAGCAACATTTAGGTCTTCTGACGTCTCTCACTCTATTATTATACGTATATGTTGATGATACTGTAAGTATGAGAGTACTCCTTCTGGTTCCATTACTCCCTGAAATGGAAATATTGATCCTGAGCCGGAAAATGAATAAATGTGAGAATGAGCGTTGTTTTATTTTGTAGATGCAGTTTTGTTGAGCGACAGCAGCTAGCATGAAGCTAACTGTTGGTTCTGAGCACTTAAAACGTTTCAGACCCGACATTAGTCCGAGCTCCCAGCATCCTCTCTGGATGTTATAAAGAGTTCGGTCTAGACCTGCTCTTTTTGAAAAGTGTCCTGAGATAACTTCTGTTATGAATTGGCGCTATACAAATAAAATTGAATTGAATCTCTTCCTCCCCTCTTGGGATGACAGCAGTGTGTAACATCTATTATAAGATATTTCTACTTCTATTATTTATTTCTTCCTCTTGTACAGGAAACCTCTTGGTTTCCAGGATCTTGGTGCTCATCTGGAGAGACTGTTGTCTGAGGACGAACCCAGTGAGGACTGCAGAGGTACACACACGCACACACACACACACACACACACACACACACACACACACACACACACTGTCACACTACAGTATAATTACAGTTTTACAACACTACATTTTAACTACAGTTTAATTACACTTTAATTACACTTTAAATACGCTTAGCAACAGTTTAATTACAGTTTAACAGCAGTTTAACTACAGTTTAACTACAGTTTAACTACAGTTTAACAGCAGTTTAACTACAGTTTAACTACAGTTTAACAGCAGTTTAACAGCAGTTTAACAGCAGTTTAACTACAGTTTAACAGCAGTTTAACAGCAGTTTAACTACAGTTTAACAGCAGTTTAACAGCAGTTTAACAGCAGTTTAACAACAGTTTAACTACAGTTTAACAGCAGTTTACCTACAGTTTAACAACAGTTGACCTACAGTTTAACAACAGTTTAACAGCAGTTTAACTACAGTTTAACAACAGTTTAACTACAGTTTAACTACAGTTTAACAACAGTTTAATTACAGTTTAACTACAGTTGACCTACAGTTTAACAACAGTTTAACAGCAGTTTACCTACAGTTTAACAACAGTTTAACAGCAGTTTAACGACAGTTTAACGACAGTTTAACAACAGTTTAACTACAGTTTCACGACAGTTTAATTACAGTTTAACTACAGTTTAACTACAGTTTAACAACAGTTTAATTACAGTTTAACAACAGTTTAATTACAGTTTAACTACAGTTTAACAACAGTTTAATTACAGTTTAACAACAGTTTAATTACAGTTTAACAACAGTTTAACAACAGTTTAATTACAGTTTAACAACAGTTTAATTACAGTTTAACTACAGTTTAACAACAGTTTAATTACAGTTTAACTACAGTTTAACAACAGTTTAATTACAGTTTAACTACACTTTAACAGCAGTTTAACAGCAGTTTAACAGGAGTTTACTGCTCTTTGTGTTTGAATGCAGCTGGATCCATTAACCAGCTGCTGCTGATGAAATCATTATTTAATATTTGATTATGTGCCTGCAGATCAGCCTGTTGAAGGTCGTCTGGGTCCTCAGCCGGTCGTCCTGGATCACACGAGCGGCTTCGAAGGACTCCTGTTTGTAGATGATGATCTGCTGGGGGTGAGATAACGTATTTATTATTATTATTCATCATTTCATCGCAAGTAGAGCGCTGATTGGCTGAATGTGAGGATTGTGTCTGTCTCCTTCTAAAGATTACTTCTGTCTACAGGAGTTAAATATATAGTTTACACTATGTATATATAGAAATTATTTATAATAATTCAAACTGTTTATGGTTTTAGGTCATCGGCCACAGCAACTTCAGCTCCATCAGAGCCACCACGTGTGTCTACAAAGGTAAAGGACTTCCTGTGGAGGGAGGTCCGGGTTCTGGCTCATATAATCTCTGTATGTGTGAGGGTATAATGCAGTCTGCAGTCTGTAGAACAGAAACTGTATTACAGTCCCTCCACAGAGTAATGGGGATCTCTCTATCTCACCATTCAGTTTGGGTCTTGGGATCACAGTTCAGGTTCAGTTCATAGAGGGAAAGATTGGACCACTGCTGCTGTTCTGCGGCGTAATGTCCCTTTAAAACCTCCACTGGATGTTAACCATTAACCTTCCTCCACCTGCAGGGAAGTGGGCCTACGAGGTTCTGATCTCCTCTCAGGGTCTGATGCAGATCGGGTGGTGTACTCTGAACTGCCGCTTCAACCAGGAGGTACACACACACACACACACACACACACACACACACACACACACACACACAGTACCACAGACACACACACACAGTAACACAGACACACACATACACACAGTACCACACACACACACACACAGTAACACACAAACAGTACCACACACACACACACACACACACAGTAACACAGACACACACACACACACACACACACACAAACAGTACCACACACACACACACACACACACAGTAACACAGACACACACACACACACACACACACACAAACAGTAACACACACACACAACACACACACACACACAGTAACACACACACACACACACACACACACACACACACACACACACACACAGTAACACACACACAGTACCACACACACACACACACAGTAACACACACACACACACACACACACACACACACACACACACATATTTCAGTTCTTCCTGTCTGTGTGTGAAACTGTCTGTCCTCAGGAGGGTGTTGGCGACACTCCAGACTCTTACGCTTACGACGGGAACAGAGTGCGAAAGTGGAACGTGACGACCACCAACTACGGGAAGGTGAGCGATGTAGCTCTGATGTAGCTCAGGTGTAGCTCAGGTGTAGCTCTGATGTAGCTCAGGTGTAGCTCTGATGTAGCTCAGATGTAGCTCAGGTGTAGCTCTGATGTAGCTCAGGTGTAGCTCTGATGTAGCTCAGATGTAGCTCAGGTGTAGCTCTGATGCAGCTCTGATGTAGCTCTGATGTAGCTCAGGTGTAGCTCTGATGTAGCTCTGCTGTAGCTCAGGTGTAGCTCAGGTGTAGCTCTGATGTAGCTCAGGTGTAGCTCTGATGTAGCTCTGATGCAGCTCTGATGTAGCTCTGATGTAGCTCAGGTGTAGCTCAGGTGTAGCTCTGATGTAGCTCAGGTGTAGCTCTGATGTAGCTCAGGTGTAGCTCTGATGTAGCTCTGATGTAGCTCAGGTGTAGCTCAGGTGTAGCTCTGATGTAGCTCAGGTGTAGCTCTGATGTAGCTCTGCTGTAGCTCAGGTGTAGCTCTGATGTAGCTCAGGTGTAGCTCAGGTGTAGCTCTGATGTAGCTCTGATGCAGCTCTGATGTAGCTCAGGTGTAGCTCAGGTGTAGCTCTGATGTAGCTCAGGTGTAGCTCTGATGTAGCTCAGGTGTAGCTCTGATGTAGCTCTGATGTAGCTCAGGTGTAGCTCAGGTGTAGCTCTGATGTAGCTCAGGTGTAGCTCTGATGTAGCTCTGCTGTAGCTCAGGTGTAGCTCAGGTGTAGCTCTGATGTAGCTCAGGTGTAGCTCAGGTGTAGCTCTGATATAGCTCTGATGCAGCTCTGATGTAGCTCAGGTGTAGCTCAGGTGTAGCTCTGATGTAGCTCTGATGTAGCTCAGGTGTAGCTCAGGTGTAGCTCTGATGTAGCTCTGATGTAGCTCTGATGTAGCTCAGGTGTAGCTCAGGTGTAGCTCTGATGTAGCTCTGATGTAGCTCTGATGTAGCTCAGGTGTAGCTCAGGTGTAGCTCTGATGTAGCTCTGATGCAGCTCTGATGTAGCTCTGCTGTAGCTCAGGTGTAGCTCAGGTGTAGCTCTGATGTAGCTCTGATGTAGCTCTGCTGTAGCTCAGGTGTAGCTCAGGTGTAGCTCTGATGTAGCTCTGATGCAGCTCTGATGTAGCTCTGCTGTAGCTCAGGTGTAGCTCAGGTTTAGCTCTGATGTAGCTCTGATGTAGCTCTGCTGTAGCTCAGGTGTAGCTCAGGTGTAGCTCTGATGTAGCTCAGGTGTAGCTCAGGTGTAGCTCTGATGTAGCTCTGATGTAGCTCAGGTGTAGCTCAGGTGTAGCTCTGATGTAGCTCTGATGCAGCTCTGATGTAGCTCTGCTGTAGCTCAGGTGTAGCTCAGGTGTAGCTCTGATGTAGCTCTGATGTAGCTCTGCTGTAGCTCAGGTGTAGCTCAGGTGTAGCTCTGATGTAGCTCAGGTGTAGCTCAGGTGTAGCTCTGATGTAGCTCTGATGCAGCTCTGATGTAGCTCTGATGTAGCTCAGGTGTAGCTCAGGTGTAGCTCTGATGTAGCTCAGGTGTAGCTCTGATGTAGCTCAGGTGTAGCTCTGATGTAGCTCTGATGTAGCTCAGGTGTAGCTCAGGTGTGGCTCAGGTGTAGCTCTGATGTAGCTCAGGTGTAGCTCTGATGTAGCTCAGGTGTAGCTCAGGTGTAGCTCAGGTGTAGCTCTGGTGTAGCTCAGGTGTAGCTCAGATGTAGCTCAGGTGTAGCTCAGGTGTAGCTCTGATGTAGCTCAGATGTAGCTCAGGTGTAGCTCAGGTGTAGCTCTGGTGTAGCTCAGGTGTAGCTCAGGTGTAGCTCTGATGTAGCTGCTGATGCTGTTGGTGTTTCCTCAGTCGTGGGCGGCCGGAGACATCGTGAGCTGTCTGGTGGACCTGGATGAAGGAACCATCACCTTCTGCCTGTACGTCAGTGAACCCTGTTACACTCTGATTCACCCGCATGTCTGCTCTTTAGCTTAGCTTAGCATAAATGCTGGAAACGGGGGGAAACTGTTAGCCTGGCTCTGACCAAAGGTACCAATGTTCCTGCAGCTTCTTAAAAACATGTTATAGAATGTAATTTGTTTGTTATTAGGTCAGTTTGTCCAGATGGTCCGCTTTCTGTTCGTGACCCGGTTCTACATTCTATCCTATTGATTCCTATTAATTCTGCCCCGAACGTAATGAGAGTCACTTATATACCATTACGTTTACACTACTTTAGAAAGCTACAGATGTTAGCGTCTGGCTGCCTCCTGCCACCTCCTTCCACCTCCTTCCACCTCCTGCCATCTCCTGCCACCTCCTGTCACCTCCCTCCTCCTCCTTCCACCTCCTTCCACCTCCTGCCACCTCCTGCCACCTCCCTCCTCCTCCTACCACCTCCTACCACCTCCCGCCACCTCCTTCCACCTCCTGTCACCTCCTTCCACCTCCTTCCACCTCCTGCCACCTCCCTCCTCCTCCTACCACCTCCTACCACCTCCCGCCACCTCCTACCACCTCCTGCCACCTCCTGCCACCTCCTTCCACCTCCTGTCACCTCCTTCCACCTCCTGCCACCTCCCTCCTCCTCCTACCACCTCCTACCACCTCCCTCCTCCTCCTACCACCTCCTACCACCTCCCGCCACCTCCCACCACCTCCTGCCACCTCCTTCCACCTCCTTCCACCTCCTGTCACCTCCTGCCACCTCCTGCCACCTCCTTCCACCTCCTGCCACCTCCTTCCACCTCCTGCCACCTACTGCCACCTCCTTCCACCTCCTGCCACCTCCTGTCACCTCCCTCCTCCTCCTTCCACCTCCTGCCACCTCCTGCCACCTCCTGCCACCTCCTGCCACCTCCTGTCACCTCCCTCCTCCTCCTTCCACCTCCTTCCACCTCCTTCCACCTCCTGCCACCTCCTTCCACCTCCTGTCACCTCCTGCCACCTCCTGCCACCTCCTGTCACCTCCCTCCTCCTCCTTCCACCTCCTGCCACCTCCTGCCACCTCCTGCCACCTCCTGTCACCTCCCTCCTCCTCCTTCCACCTCCTGCCACCTCCTGCCACCTCCTACCACCTCCTGCCAGCTCCTGCCACCTCCTGCCACCTCCTGTCACCTCCCTCCTCCTCCTTCCACCTCCTTCCACCTCCTGCCACCTCCTACCACCTCCCTCCTCCTCCTGCCACCTCCTTCCACCTCCCTCCTCCTCCTGCCACCTCCTGCCACCTCCTACCGCCTCCTGCCACCTCCCTCCTCCTCCTACCACCTCCCGCCACCTCCTTCCACCTCCTACCACCTCCCTCCTCCTCCTGCCACCTCCTGCCACCTCCTTCCACCTCCTGCCTCCTCCGGCCACCTCCCTCCTCCTCCTACCACCTCCTGCCACCTCCTACCACCTCCCTCCTACGGCCTCCCACCACCTTCTACCGCCTCCTACCACCTCCCTCCTCCTCCTACCGCCTCCCACCACCTCCTACCACCTCCCTCCTCCTCCTACCACCTCCTACCACCTCCCGCCACCTCCTTCCACCTCCTACCACCTCCCTCCTCCTCCTGCCACCTCCTTCCACCTCCTACCACCTCCGTCCTCCTCTGGCCACCTCCCTCCTCCTCCTGCCACCTCCTGCCACCTCCTTCCACCTCCTGCCACCTCCTACCGCTTCCCTCCACCTCCTACCACCTCCCTCCTTCTCCTACCACCTCCTGCCACCTCCTGCCACCTCCTACCACCTCCCTCCTACCGCCTCCCACCACCTTCTACCGCCTCCTACCACCTCCCTCCTCCTCCTACCACCTCCCGCCACCTCCCGCCACCTCCTTCCACCTCCTACCACCTCCCTCCTCCTCCTGCCACCTCCTTCCACCTCCGTCCTCCTACGGCCTCCCACCACCTTCTACCGCCACCTCCTACCACCTCCCTCCTCCTCCTACCGCCTCCCACCACCTCCTACCACCTCCCTCCTCCTCCTACCACCTCCTACCACCTCCCGCCACCTCCTTCCACCTCCTACCACCTCCCTCCTCCTCCTGCCACCTCCTTCCACCTCCTACCACCTCCGTCCTCCTCTGGCCACCTCCCTCCTCCTCCTGCCACCTCCTGCCACCTCCTTCCACCTCCTGCCACCTCCTACCGCTTCCCTCCACCTCCTACCACCTCCCTCCTTCTCCTACCACCTCCTGCCACCTCCTGCCACCTCCTACCACCTCCCTCCTACCGCCTCCCACCACCTTCTACCGCCTCCTACCACCTCCCTCCTCCTCCTACCACCTCCCGCCACCTCCCGCCACCTCCTTCCACCTCCTACC